CATTTTTACACTTAAAACTTCGCAGCAAAACATTGTGAAAAAAAAAATCAAACATTCACAATGTTTTATTGTAAAGTTTCAATTGTAAAATGGTGGTCTCATGGGTCTCATAAAAACAGGCTAGTCTCAAATGATCTCAAGTCTATGTGGTTTGTACGAATAGCCTGGTTTGCATTTTATCCTTCCCCTAATATATATATATATATATATATATATATCTGTTTGTGTGTGTGACACCCCGATTTCACATTTGCATATAAACATATATTTCCATATAACAAGAAATATAATTGTACATATTCGGTCCCAAATGTATACAAAAGCTACATCATATAAGTAGCTACCAATTTTTTTCACATATCTTAGAACAAAACTTGTATTCGTAACAAACAATCAAATACAAAAGATAACACAACTCCCCAATTTCTCATGCAAGCAAAATAAATTCTTCACAAGTTTTTCTTCTCCTTATCGCTTGATTGTGTCTGACCTGTAACACAAATTTTAAAATATAAATAAGGGTTAGACCTTGAGGTATTGTGAGAAATCCCTTTTTAGTGTCATTACAGAGTGAAACTTACCAAAACACTTTTAGAAAACTCTTTTTATATAAAAAACAAATACATAGTGTTTTATCCAAAACAAACATCTTTTTGCCCCATCCAATAGATGAGATAATCTATTTTCATTGTATCAAACCCATGCATAACTTTTATCGCATCTAACAATAATATATCAACTTGTTGCATCTCATGGTTACGATCATACTTTTTTGTCGCATCAATTTGTATTACATTAACTTGTCACATCATTCAGATGAGACAACCAATCTTGTCGTATCATACTAATGCGATAACTCCCATTTGTCGCATCATACTAATGCGATATCCATAACTCATCGCATCATACTGATGCGATATCCACAACTCATCGCATCATACTTATGTGATGTCCGCAACTCATCGCATCATATTGATGCGATAAAAATCACACTCATTGCATCAAAATGATGCGATAACAAGAATCTCATGATCAAAAGATCATCATATCCAGAACGTAAATGCCGAATGCCGTTGTGTTGGAATGAGGTAGGTGAAAGACAGCTGACGACCCCAAAAATTGTCCAAGAAACTTCTGAGAAGATCGAACAGATCCGCGAAAGAATCAGAACAGCACAAGATCGCCAGAAAAGTTATGTTGATAATCGTCGAAAGCCGATTGAATTTGGTGTAGGTGATTTTGTGATGTTGAAAGTTTCACCATGGAAGGGTGTCGTCAGATTTGGAAAGAAAGATAAGCTCAGTCCGAGGTATGTGGGGCCGTTCAGAATATGTAAGCGAATTAGGCCAGTAGCATATCAGTTAGAGCTGTCAGAAGAACTGAGTCTGATTCCCAACAGTTTCCACGTGTCAAATCTGCGGAAATATTTGGCTGATCCGAGTCTAGCTATACCACTGCCAGAGGTTAAATAAGACAAAAAGCTGAACTTTGTGGAAACACCAGAAGCTGTAATTGACCGAAAGATCATAGTGTTGAGAAACAAAGAGATAAGTTTGGTTAAGGTTCAGTGGAAGTTTCACAAAGGACTAGAAGCGACATGGGAATTGGAGTCAAAAATGAGATCAGAATACCCATGACTTTTTTATTAAAGGAATTCCGGAACGGAATTCTTTTGAGGGGTGGATAATATGATAACTGGATCTTGATTATCACCTGAGGTAAATAATATGTGATTATTATTTATTATGTGTTTACATGACAGCATGATAAATTTGTACATTTGATCATGTGGGGATGTGAAGTATATGCATAATGTGAAATATATTTATATATATGTATGCATATAAATATATATATATATATATATATATATATGTGTGTGTGTGTGTGTATGTGGTAAGTTAAAGTGAAATGCATGTATAATATGGTATGTATGTGAATATTTATACATGAATATACATGCATATTATGTGTGTGAGTATGAATGCATGCATGTGGAGGGCTTGGTGACTGCTTCAGCCGCCTTCCTTATTTGGAAAGTATAAAAGGAGGTTGAAGCCTCCACATTTCTCTTCTTGCCATATTGAGAAAAAAATTGAGCGATTTAGAGTGGAAGAAAAGTCTTGAGAGGATTGCTTATTTGCAAGAAGTTGGTTTCAAAAGGTGAGTACTTTGAACCATTTTTAGTTACATCTTGAAATTACGTTTTCAAAGAGTTTTATACTTGTGTTAAGTTTAATACGGTTATGTGTTGAGCGATTTATGTTCTAAACCGAGTGAAGGATGAGCGATTTAGGGTTTTAAATCGTACAAGGCTTGAGCGGTTTAGGGCTAAACCGCCTAAAGCATGAGCGATGTAGCCTTAAACCGGATGAGAGTCGAGCAGTTTAGTTTTAAACCGGACATGTTTCGACCGGTTTAAAGGGTGAGCGATTTATAAACTTTGATTTTTATGATTAAATGTTTCAACGGAGAAGTATGAATACGACCATGTGATGACCGGATTATTTTAAATCGGTCAAAAAGGGGGACATAGTGTTGTCCGGATTTGTTATCCGGACAAAAGTATTGGAAATAAGTCTAAGTGTTAAATCAGACAGGCCTTGAGCGGTGTGTTGTCCGGATTTGATAAATCGGCTAAGACTTGACCGGAGATAAAGTCCGGCCAAGTCTATTTTGACCAGATATACTTGACTTATATATATAAATGGAGAAATTTTGGTAAAGATGATTTTGAACTGATTAGCAATTCCATTGACTACGGTCTAATTCTATAAGGAATTATCTTTGTGAAATGTTTTAATGAAGAAATAAGGGTGGCATATCAAGGAGAAGTGTACCATGGGATAAGGGTGGTATATCAATGAGAGATGTACTATGGGATAAGGGTAGCATATCAAGGAGAGGTGTACATTTGGATATAAGGGTGGCATTTGTGTGTGTGTATTTCGTAATATAACCCTTACTATTATATCCCTTAAGATTACCGTGGATTGAAATCTTTATTTCTTTTTGATTTAAAGATTTAGAATCAGGGTTCTTAATGGAAATTATAGTTTGAATGTTATAGAAGGGAAGATAACAGGTTTTACCAAGAATTGTGATTAAACCTTATTTGAATAGAAAAGGTTTAAAAGTGGCACTATGTTGATTTGGTTAATATAAACCTGTTTAGAGATGATATACTATTTGCAATCAGGGAATTTGGCTTGAAAAGTAACCAGGTATTAGTACCAAACCCTTGTTCATATATTGGTTATATATATATGAAAAGTTATTTTGTAGAGAGAGAGAGAGCGCTTAGTTCAAATGTTAACCCAAATTATTGTGTTAACTTTATAAACCTTTTAGGCAAATCACAATCCATCTTAGTATTAGGTTCTTCACTATCTAAAAATTTAATGTTAAGGATATATGGGTATTTTTTTTATTTTTTTTTTGTAACTCTTATATCATTAATTGGGAGTTACATGATCCATAAAATCCCATGATTTTTGCATTTTTAATATTGATCTTGTGATTTTTTTCATTTTCTAATATTGATCTTTCATTTTTAATATTTATAAATTTATGATTGGTGGAGGAGATCCGTTAGTAAAGTGTTTGTTATCATTCAAACAATTATGGATAAAGACATTGAAAACAACACGACAACATTGAGAAGGTTAAAATTGTTTATGGTGACAATCGGAGTTCGAGATCAGGAAGTGAAGTATATAATCAAAGCGAGTGTCTTGGTAATTATAAACACGAATTGACATATATGACACAAATTGACATGTATACACCCATATGAACACAAATTGACATATATGAACACTTGTGGCAATTATGAACACAAATTGAACATATATGTCAAAATTTATGGCAATTATGAACAAAAATTGAACATATATGAACACTTGTGGCAATTATGAACACAAATTGAACATATATGTNTGAACATATATGTCAAAATTTATGGCAATTATGAACAAAAATTGAACATATATGAACACTTGTGGCAATTATGAACACAAATTGAACATATATGTGAACACTTATGGCAATTATGAACATAAATTGAACATATATATGAACACTTGTGGCAATTATGAACACGATTGAACATATAAGATTTCTACTGTTTGAAACCGATGTAATTGAATGCACATTATCTTTTACATAAATACCCTTCAACAATTATGTTCACATATGTTTGCGAAATTACACATTTAATAAATTAAATTTATAATATGGTTAATATCAACCCTTTATTTTAAAAATCAATAGTCATGATTAGTTTATAAAGTTAAAACAATAATTAAGATTAATAAATAAACTTACCCATATATATATATATATATATATATATATATATATATATATATATATATATATATATATATATATACCTCTCTTGAAAGAATACTAAGGAGAGTATTGTGATGTTGTACCTAGAAGAAACTCAAAATTGGGGTTTTGTTGAGAGGTTGACGTCCGAAGGTTATTTATAACCATAAAACAAGTGTCGGGACCAAGTTTGAGGAGTGGTGGCAAAAGTTTGGCTTTTTGTCTTCAGATGCAACATCAATAAATGTAATATATTTATCTTACGACACTTAATTCATATATGCACAAATATTGGTGTCTTTGAATTTTACTATTTATTTATTTTTCATTTTCTTTTTGATGTTTTCGATATTTAATTACGATATTTCTTTTGAAATGCTTGTTAATCTCGTCAGATTATGTGTTCCTCGTTGCTATCGAAAACCGAATAACAAAAAATCATTTAACCGGAACCTCCTTTGGTTTAAATGGGTTATTCGACTTTGGATTTTTTTTCTTTTATACCCCTAGGTGTGTTCCTGATCAACTGACTTCCAGGATCCACAGTGAAGATGTTGGTTGACAAGAACATTTTGGAGAGAGAGAGAGAGAGAGAGAGAATTTGTCAAAAAAAATCGAAAGTTGTCAAAAAAAATCGTAAGTTGTCAATGATTTTGAAAAGATACTCGAGAGCAGTAATCGGTAAAACTACCTTAAAACGTGTCCCAATCTCCAACATTATCTTTTAAGAAAATCGAATTCAAATTCGTAGAGAAAGAAAGAATAGAAATCCTACTCGCTAGCCACGCAGATCACTTGCTTACCAACATTCTTGCCGGAAAATAGCCCAACAAAGGCGGCCGGAGCACTTTCAAGGCCATTGTTCATGTCTTCTATATACACAATCTTTCGCTGCTTGTACCAACCGGTAATGTCTTCCAAAAAGCGCGCATATAAATGCACGAAATCGCTCTGAAGGAAACCCTTTATCGTGACGCGCTTTGAGATTACACTGAACATGTTGAGAAAAGTTTGCGTGTCGGTTCTATTGGTCTGAGAAACCATCCCACAGACGGCTACACGACCATGGATCCTCATGTTGGCTAGTGCTGCATCAAGCATCGCTCCTCCCACGTTGTCAAAGTATATATCAATTCCTTCAGGAAAGTACCTGCTATAGTGAAATTACCAAACTACCCTTTGTTAAGTCGCGTAGGAGCTCGCAAATTCTAAACACCTTATAAGAAATAACATGCATGACGCTTCAACGGTTCTTAAATTCCTCTTAGAAAGGTCGTGTGGATTTCTACAAACTTATGATATCTGTACGAATTCATGAGAAGTTTGCAACCAAAAAATTATTGATAGACATCAACAATATGTAGTTTTTGCCCTTATCTCTTCTATGTATGGGTTCTTTCATGAAAATTTCTACCTTTTTACTTGTATTTTTTAGTAAGTGTGGGATCTTCCCTGAAACTATTTTCCGATGGGATATACTGGATCAGTTTGGTTTGGCCCTTCTGGGTTTTGCTAAAATGATCAGAATTTGTTGAGGAAATTCCAAAGGGCTTAAGTACGAATCTTACCGTTTGTTTAGGTGATTTCATGGTTGTTCTATAATAGATTTCATATCACTACATATAGTGGTATATTGTGCATTTCTGTTAAATCAAAGTTCTTCTAGTAAGAATTTCAAAATCTCATTTCATATCTTTAGTTTTGTGATTGGAAGGTGACAATTCTAGCATCTTTGCAAACATATCAACTATAATCTACCAAGAAAAATAATAACAAAAAGCCATTGATATCATTTATATATATATATATATATATATATATAGATATATAGGGTTGGGTTCACGTGAGACCAGCTTGTTTTCGTGAGACCCGTGAGACCACATTTTTACACGTAACCTTCACAGCAAAAACACTGTGAAGGTTTAAAAAAAGTCGAACCTTCACAGCAAAAACACTGTGAATGTTTTAAAAAGTCACCTTCACAGCATTTTGTTGTGAAGTTTCAAGTGTAAAATGTTGGACTCACGAAAACAGGCTGGTCTCACATGATCCACCAAGTCTATATATATATATATATATATATATATATATATATATATATATATATATATATATAATATTGGAATAATGTGAATCAGGAAGCTATTACCTCATCAATGCTGCATCAAGGTCTAATTCTTCTTTGTAATTAAAGGCTTCATCAAACCCAAGCTTATCCTTCAGAAGTTCCACCTACATAACATATATATTCATGAACATCTTGGTACGTGTTTGATAACATCTAAATACCATCTCTCATTTCAAAAACACAACTTACAGTTTGACTGTTAATCAAGGGCAAACCAACAAAATTTCAATAACATAATTGGCATATACAGGGTTTGCATGTCAAGATAAAGAGATGCATTAAATTCAATTTGTATAATGATAGAGGTCAACGTAAATCACCATGGGCAGAATAGTCAATTTAAATGTTAGTCGCAATTCGCAAACGATAGTGCCTCATTCCTGTCAAATAGATGTGTTCATTGATGTCTATCGCCTAAATTTGAAGCAAAAAAACACATATAAAGTTTCAAATTGTTAAGAGTCCTATATCGGCTAGACTTTGATCATTTCTTCTTTATGTATGCTGGAACTCCTGTTATCCTCAAATAGGTCTTTTAGGTTGCAATTGGTGCACAAACAGGATGTGACTGGACAGAACAAAACAAAAAAAATAGTCTCATGTTATGCATGACATGGAAGAAAGACAAGATGGGATTAAACTCATTTTCATGGGACAAAATCACACTTCGTTTAGTAAGGAGGGATCTACATATTCTCACAAAAATAACATCTAATTGTCCCTATGTACACATAGCTATGTAAACAACTGCATTTTTTTACGTTAAAAATTGTATACGTCGATCCTTTGTTTAGAAAGGAGGGATCCATAATGTGTAAAGCAAATGAAAGTGTGTTTAAAACCTACTTTCTTGCTTGTGCCAGCGCTTCCGACCACGTAGCATCCGTGTAACTTAGCGAGTTGACCAACAAGTTGACCAACAGCTCCAGAGGCTGCAGATACATAAACATAGTCTCCTTTCTTAGGATCACAAACCTCATAAAAACCAACATAAGCTGTAAATCCTGGCATGCCTGCAAACGTTTGACGATTAATTAATTAATGATCTTTAAATAACCAAATAAAATGATCGAGCTCGGTCTCCCACTCGAAGGTAGGGTCTAGGAGTCGGGTAAATGCAATCCTTCATTCTAAGAATTAAAATTCATGCCTCAGTTTGGGAACAATAAAATAAGGATAAAAGAAATTATAATGAAATTGTTTTTTCATGGGCTTATAATGGTTTTGTGATTCTCATGTGATTTTGGCATCTTTAATGCATTACACCCAAAAGAATATTTCAAATATATATATATTTATTTTTATTACATAAACATAGTTGTTACTACTACCCTTTTATTTATTTATTTATTTATTAACTTTTAAAAACCATAACTATATAATTTATCTTTTCATGATAACTTTATTGTCGAATTAAATTATCCAAACAAAATTACATCAAATTAAAATCGTTACATTTTCAACACATTTCTAGAAATAAAATATAACACACTTTTATCCAGGTTATTGTATTACTAACTTGTGTTATTTAAAGTATTATTTTGCAGTTTATGTATGTTTCACTATGTATTTCCATCTTTATTATCATATGGATTTTAATTAAGTATAAAGTATTGTGTTGTAAATAATTAAAACTTCATTACTTTTTCAAGACCAGTTGAATGCATCAAAACTAAAAAAATAAAACTTATAATTTAATGACATATTAGTTTATTAAAATATATTAGACTATGAAATAAAGTAGTATAATATATNACTTATAATTTAATGACATATTAGTTTATTAAAATATATTAGACTATGAAATAAAGTAGTATAATATATATATATATATATATATATATATATATATATATATATATATATACAGAGAGAGAGAGAGAGAAGTAGGAGGGTGAGTTATTATGCAACTCTTTATATTTGTGCAACCACTACAACTCAATCTCAATCTTCAATTTAATTTGATGAATATGTGATTTCATAAAAGTTTTGATTGTTTCCTATTATAAAATATTGATAATAATTAATAAACTCTAGTTATCTTTCATAAATATTCAAATCATAATAAATGACCTCTCTGTTGAAAATTTTAGTGGGTTGGAAGTTTGTCTTCCATCCCACATTGGTAAATACAGGATATTTAGAGAAGCTTATAAGGATTCCTCTACAATTAGGCTTTGAACATATGGGTAGACTCATGGTGGAGGTTTTAACTGATAGAAGGTACATCAAATGATAGATATGTAAGATAAAAGATAGTACGACATTGTCGAGAACAAGGATAAGTCAATCTTTAAACAAAGTTTAGAGGCATCTTAACAACGAAGATGTTATAGAACTTTGCCTATATGGCTTAGAGGTGGTGCCGCCTCAAACAAAGAGTTGTGGTTCCTCTTCTAGTAAGTCATGAAACAGGGTTTAGCACATGGCCATATTCGTACTCAGTGAGAGAGCAAGATTGATAGATGATGTGTGTAAGTAAGCCGGAGTGGTCACAAGATTCAAGGTTTAAATCCTAAGGATACCATTGGGTTGATCTCTTCTTGCTTATTTACATTAAATAGGGTTCAATCTTAGTGACACCACTATAATATTATCTACTATGAATGTCAGAAAACTTTCCAACCTGGTGGAAGATTGTTGCAAATTTTAGTAGGTTGGAAGTTTGTCTTCCATCACACATTGGTAGATAAAGGAAATTTAGAGAAGCTTATAAGGCTTCCTCTACAATTGGGCTTTGAACATATGGGTAGACTCATGGTAGGGGGTCTTGAGTTGAAGGCCCAAAGCACGAGCGCGCGTGGCTATGGCCGAGGCCGAGGGTGTGGGCGCGAGATTCACGAAAGTGGCGTAAGGAGACACACTTCGCATGCCGCATCGGAGCAGAAGCAGCCTCGACCCGAGCTCCGAATATCTTTTTGCTACAAAGTCGAGAAAGAGGGAAAAACTGATTTTAAAATCAGTTTTAAATCTTTTCAGCAACATTTTTCTTGGAGATAAAGATTGTTGGAGGATAATCCTCCAACTACCTATGATCATCCAAAAATTGGGGAAGAGATCATGGGGTTTTTTTGGGTTTCACCCAATATAAATACTAGGTAGAAGCTAACCCTAGAAACCACTTGAAATTTATTGTTGCTTCCTCTCAACCATTTTTGTTCCTGCCCGTTCTTGCTCTCTACCAATTTCTGCATCCATCTTGCTCTAAGTTTTTGTTTTCATCAATGCTGATAAAAGAAAACATGTGCTGCATCAAATCCTACAGCTTTGCGACTAGCAGACTCACAGCAAATAAAGAGTAGTCGTATAAAACCTTTAATGATAGGTTTCACTGTGATATTACGATTCAACGTCAGATAAATCAGGTTGGTTTTAAATATTCGTGCATTGTATTTAATTTTTGTTCACTAAGCGAACAACTCTGTTTCTACTCCTTTCTTTCATTGATTTGCGGAGGATAAATTCAATCTGTGTGAATTTGCATGTTTTGAGGTGTTGTGGATTCCGGACTCAAAAGGTTACCATTTATTATCTTAAAAATTTGAACTTTTCCAGTTAAATATTTAAAAGTTTTATAAAGACTAAAACTTTGTTGGTTTCATCTATCTAACCCAATTTAACTTTTAACAATCTTAAAGGTTTAATATATGTAATGGACACCGAAAACTACCGAATCCTAAATCAATATATGATGAAACTCGAGAAGTTTGACGGGTTATGTTATACTCGTTGGGCGGACAAAGTCAAGTTCATGTTGATGGTAGTAAAACTCTATTATGTGTTGGACCCTGACCTCCCACCTATCCCCGAGAATCTGGTCCCTGAACCTAGGAATGAACTGGATAGACAAAGAATTGCTGACTTAGAAAAACTGAGAATGGTCCGTAAGGAAGAGGAAACTCTTGCTTGCGGACATATAAAAAATGCTTTGTCAGATCGTCTATATGATATGTATTCCCCGATTATGTGCCCGAGAGAGTTGTGGAAGGCACTGGAATTCAAATATAAGTCACAAAAAGATGGCACTAACAAATATCTTGTGTCTCAATATTTGAGATTTCAAATGGTTGATGAAAAACCGATTCTGGAGCAAGTGCATGAGCTCCAAGTTTTAGTAAACAAACTGAAGATGCTTTCTATTGTTATTCCTGAAACTTTCCAAGTAGGGGTAGTTATAGATAAACTGCCTCCATCTTGGAAAGATTTTTCTAAAAGAATGATTCACAAAACCAAAGATTATTCGTTATACGATTTGCTAAAACATCTTTAAATCGAGGAAGAGGCACATAATCAGGATAAGAAAGGCAAGTTTTGATGAATGCTAACAGCATACAGGCTGGAGGCAAGGGTAAGGGTAAGGGAAGGGCCAGAGTTCCAAATAGAAAGTGGAACTTGGGTCCCACAAAAGAAGAGTTTTAAGAGATCTAGTTATCAATCGAACCCATGGAAACAATTTAAAAGGGTCAGAAAGTGTCACGTATGCCGAGAAATGGGACATTACGCTCGTGAGTGCAAGGATAGAAAGTTCGGACCCACTGCTGCTAATTCTGTTGAGTGGATTCAACACCTTGTGGCGAATCTCCACATGGAAGAAAATGATATGATCTCAAAGGCCTCTACAAGGATTGTGGCTGAAAGAGGTGGTTGATACTTGGACTCTAGAACCACTGTTCATGTTTGTGACTCCAGGTCCAAGTTTGTTGAATATGGACCGGTTCAGATGGGAAGCAAGTGATAGTTGCTAACAATGGTCGTGTTGATATCGTTGGAATGGATACCGTACTGCTGAAGTTCACTTCCGGTAAGACCGTCAAATGTTCTTCACGTGCCTTCTATCAACAAGAGCCTCATCTCTGCAAGCAAACTCGATGAAAACGGGTTTGGAATAAATATAGAGGAAAGGAAGCTCGTGATATACAAGAGGAAGACTTTCATTGGAAAGGGATACTACCAGTTAGGTATCTATCACCTGAATCTGAGTGAGGATGGTACTGAGGAGGTCGGACCTAATGAGTCAGTAGGAAGTAATGTTTTAGCCATGTCTGAAGAAGTTTCTAATTTTTCTGTTTCCACTGTTGAAAATGATGTAATTCCCAACGTTTTTAATAAAGTTAATTCTTTGGATTATTCTATTTGTTCTATTTCTTTATGGCATAAACGTCTTGTGCATACAAATGTAAGAAATATTGAAAAAATGCATAACAAAGGATTAATCAAAATTGATAACAAAGATTTTGGAAAATGTGAAACTTGTGTAAAATCAAAATTTACAAAAAAAAAAAACATTTTCCATCTGTTAAACGAGACACATTAATTTTAGAGTTGATTCATTCTGATATTTGTGAACTAAATGGTATACTTACTCGCAGACCTAAAATGTATTTCATTACTTTTTGTGATCACTTCAGACAGTTTTTATATGTTTATTTGTTACACTCAAAAGATGAAGCTTTTGAAGCCTTTAAACTCTATGAAGCTGAAGTCCAAAATCAACTTGAAAAACGAATCAAAATACTTCGTTCATACAGAGGTGATGAATACTTTAATAGAGAATTTGATACATTTTGTGAAGAGAATGTTATCAAACATGAATGGACCTTACCATTTACTCCTCAACAAAATGGCTTGGAGGAACAAAAGAACCGAATCCTTGTTGAAATGGTCAACTGCATGTTGAACCAATCGGGATTGCCTAACAATCTCTAGGGAGAAGTTGTTAACAGCTTGCCATATTCATAATTGAATCACTAGTCGTGTGATTCCAACCCATCCATATGAACTCTAGAGAGGAAAGAAACCAAATTTGAACTACCTTAGAGTTTGGCGTTGTATTGCATACTATCGAACTCCAACACCAAAAAGATCTAAATTGGGAGCCCGTGCTGTTAAGAGCATATTCGTTGGATATGCGATAAATAGCAAGGCTTATCGATTATTGGACAAAGAGTCAGGAGTTATAGTATAATCCAGAGATGTGGAATTCTTTGAAGATAGATTTTCAGAAGATGCTGAA